AGAACGACCAGATCATTTCACATTGGATTTAAATGTAATTAATTTGAGTTAGTTTTTTTTTTAGTAGTGTTGTAAAAAATCACAACGTAAGGGGCCTCTAATCGGTCAAGTACCGCTTACTGATTAATCTGAGATTAATCGGGACCTAATTGTGATTTTTTACAACACCGTTAAAAACAAAAGAAAAAATAATTCGAAATAGTTACATTTAAATCGAATGTGAAATAACGTGGTCGTTCTCGGCAACGTTGTGAGACGGTCTCAATTTAGCCTATGTCTACCTAATCTATATTTATCATATGCACCTTTAACCAACATTTTACACTTTTTTTTATAAAAAATATTAATAAATTAGTTTACAAAAGTAATAATAATACAATCTTATATAGTTAAGCATTTGAATTAAAAAATAATAATTATATAACCTGATAAAAGAAAAAAAAAATGAAAACATAGTTGAAAGTGAATTAAGTTACGAATTATAATTACAATACCATAAAATGCTTTAACAAATATAAACATACTATATGTTGAAAAATGTATTCGAACATACCGTCAAATAAATAAATAAATAAATAAATAAATAATATTCGAATAAAACGTCAAAATAAAAAAACATTAATAAACTTACTTGAAGAAAATATCAAAAAGATTAGAAAAAATAATTTGAGCAAAACGTTAAAAAAAAAATTAGTATGTATGTATGTATATATATATATATATATATATATATATATATATATATATATATATATATATATATATATATATATATAAACAATAAATTTAAGCAAATCTAAATCCTTAAATATATAACTAAAATAAATAATAATAATAATAAATAATAGAGAAAATTACATAAATGGTCCCTGTGGTAGAAACATATTACATAAAGCATCCTTATACATGAAGGGCAAATATTTTATTTCATATAAGACTTAAGTGAAAAAGTTAACGCCATTAGTCAAAAGAACCGTCTTTGCAAGATTTTGAAACCACAGGGACCATCTGTGTAAAGAATTCGTCATAAGGACCATAATTGATCAATTTTATCAACTATTAGAACCATTTATGTAATTTTGTCTTTTTTTTTATCTACACGTTTGAAAGACTAAATAGAATATTCTCCTTTTTCGTAGATGGATCCCCACCTTTATTTCAAACATGGGGATATCTCCAGAAAAGTTTCAGTATTTTCGGTAAATTTTTAATAAAGTTCTAAATTTTAGTTTTTGAATAAAAAAGTCCTGATTTTTTCACCTTTTGAATAGAAAAGCCCAAGAAACCGGCTAATTTATTCACTTTAGTCATTTTTGACCTATTCAACAGGTCATGGGACCAAATTGTTATTTTTTTGTAAATAAAGGGACTTTTTTTGCAGATTTCGTCAAAATTTTTATATAATGTATAAACATATTTTTTACATATCTATATCTATTTTTACGTATTTTTGTATTTTTTATATTTTTATAAGTACATATTTACGTATTTTTACGTATTTTAAATTTATAAACGCATTTTTTTTACTTATTTATATGTATTTTTAACCATTGTACATATTTTTTATGTATTTTTATGTGTTATTTTTTTATATATTATGTATTTATATGTATTTTTATATATTTTTACGTATTTATGTATTTTTTAAAGTTTTTTATATAGATGTTTATGTATTTTAAGTGTATAAACGTATTTTTTTTTACGTATTTATATCTATTTTTAAGTATTTTACATATCTTTTATGTATTATGTATTTATATATTTTTTTTAAAGTTTTTTATATAGATGTTTTTGTATATTTATGTATTTTAAATGTATAAACATATTGTTTTACGTATTTATATGTATTTTTTAAGTACTTTACATATATTTTTGTGTGTTTTTATGTGTTTTTTTTATATATTATGTATTTATATATATATATATATATATATATATATATATATATATTGCGTATTTATGTATTTTTTAGTTTTTTTATATACATGTTTATGTATTTTGATGTATATTAAATGTTAAAGTGTATTATTTTTACATAAAAAATATA